GGCTGAGGGAGGGCAGAGGGTCAGAGATTCACACAAGGGCCTGCATCAGGCTGTCTCTGCATAGGGATGAGATGGGGCCCTCCTTCTCAGCACACAGCCTCCTGGCTGGTCCTCTCTGTTCCAAGAGTAAGAGCAGGGAGGAACATTCCAGGAGAAGAATGGCTCAAAAAACTAGGAATCAGCTGGTGGGAGTCATAGACCCAGGCTGGGCCCCGTGTGGGTGCAGATGGATCCTGCTGTCCCCTTGGCCACTCTGGATAAGAGGCCTGATGCCCTGGGGGAACACAGCATCCACAGTGGAGTGTACAGAGCCACCAACCCCGCCCCGCCATCTGTTCTCTATCAGTGAGGATGGCCCAATTCTTTCCACTCCCGGGAAGCAGTTCCTGAGAAACTGCTCAAGAAGGGGTGGAGCACCTGGAAATCTCCCAGAAGCCTCTTCCACTTATGCAGATTGGCCTCCCCTTCTAAGACAGACACAGCAGTGACACCTGGTGGCTGGTGCTGGCCACATCTGGCTCCCGTGTTCCTGCTCATCTCTCTGGTGTGATTTTCCAAGATCAAGGAGTTGGCCTCAGGTTCCAACTTGGAGAGCCATGGGCAATGTGCATGGTCTCTCTCTCTCCTCTGGGGTCTAAAGGGCACAAAGGTACAGAGGCCCCAAGGTGGGGGATCTGATTCCCATCATGAGTGAACACAAGTGGGAACCTTCAGGAAACCAGTTGAGGATACAGTTTGTTCTGATCTGCTCTCTTACCTTATGGGTCCCCTCTGCTCTCAGCTTTCATGTGGTACACCAAGGAGGTGGATAAGATGCCCCTCCAAGGACCCTCTGGCGCTCATGTTCCTGTATGCAGCTCCATCCTTTAGATCGTGTTCTAATGCAGGAAGAGTCCTAAATATTATCCCTTTCCCTTGCAATAATTTATTCCCTGTATGGGCTTTCCTTCCCCCAGAGTTCCCACCCCACCCTGTCTGGCCCAGGTGAGCAGTGTGTCAGGCCTCTAAGGGAAGCCTGGGTTCCACAGGGCTGACTCAACTTCATCTTCCCCTTAACTCTCTCTAGGGGATGCTGCCCCTCTACAGCCTCTGAGTGTATGTTGGTGGGGGTGGGGGCATATGTCCTAGAAATGATTAGGATACAGTGCCCACTCCCAAGTTAGGTTGAAAAAAGTTCCAGAGATGTTTAAGAAATTGGATTAAGCTAGGTCCCTAACTTCAAGAAATTCCCATTATACTCTTATTTTTCCCTTTTGCTAATTTACAGAATATGGGCCCATTTCATTACAGCCTCCATCCCCCATGCTCGCATACAACTGCTTCATTCTCCGAGGCTGCAGCTGGTTTCGAGTCAAGATATTACTGTGTCTGTAAGCAACCTGTTGCTATGGCCTGGATAAGCCCCTTCTGCACCTTATCCCCACCTTGCGCCCTCAGCCCCTCTGATGAGGCCCTCAGGGGAGCACAGCTCCTGGGACTCGCCGGGGAGGAGGGGTCATTCCCCAGCTCCTGCCAACCTGAAGTGTTTTGATTCAGCAGCAACAAAATCACCATCATCCTATTGCTGCATCTGGCATATTTCTGCTTCTTCCATTGCTCCCTGTATCTGTAAACCAGAGGAAATTAAATTGGCTTTACAGCACCACCCTCCCACATACAATGTGCTGTTTTCCCTTGGGCTTAAGGAAGCCCCCTCCTCCATATACAAGTTAACTCTCTCAGTGCTGCTGACATATGCACATACAGGTGTGTAGGAAGGTGTGTATGTATGTGTACTCTGTACATATATCTGTTCTTTCTTGAAGACCGTATTAACTTTGTGCAACAACTTTGACATTCCAGCATGCTTCACAGCAGAGAAAATAAAGTTATATGAAAAATACCCTGCTTGAACTTGACAGTGTAAACAGATGAGAATAGCATCTTAAAGTCACTTTGCCACCCCTCTCCCCCGGCCTCCCACCTTCCTTGCTCTGAGAAGACTGGTGGAGAAAGGATCCTATCCTTAAGAAGCTCTAGGAAAATGATTCCAAAAGTTTTTTTGGTGAATTTCCCCCAAACTCACAATTGTTACAAAAATTGTAACAAAAATTGTTACAAAAATAATCCCTAAAGTCAGATACCTAAAGGTAATCTGACAGCTACATTTGAAGCCCAAATCTCCAAGTTCTTTTTAACCCACACATACCAAATTGTTGAGGTCTCCCAAATGCTCAGTACTAAAAGACACAAAACAGACACCATTCCTGACCAGGAAAAGCTAACAGACTAGTTGAGGATAGGCAGTGTAAGATACACAAAACAATGGCAGAGGTGTATCAAGGGCAGTGAGCAAAGGGCCAGCCACATCACCTGGAATGGTCTACATGCTATGCAGATGTTCACAGAAGGGCTAAAACAGGGTACCCTGGAATCTCTCTTCAGGTGGAAGGTTTGTTCCAGAGCCAACCCTGTGGTCCTCCTGGACTACACCATCTTCTTTTGAATGAAAACTGCCGGATGCTGTCCCACCCCTCCCACCCTGCCCCCTAATTTCCTGCTTCAGTTCAATTCAGCACGTTTTCAGCATATATCAACCACGTGCAAGGTTCCCAGCTAAGAATTCAAGGATAAGTAATATATACCCCACGCCACTGAGGAATTCATAAAGGGAAAAATCCATGAATTAGTAATTGCATGTCTTAAGTGTTTGCAATAATGTTGGGTACAGAAAGCATAGTGGAGAGGGCCTCTGCTTCTGCCTGGGAGAAACCAGAATGGCTCCTATCATTTAAGCTGGATCTTAAGGTTTGAATCAGATTTTGCCAGGTGGGAGAAGGAGGAAAAAGCACATAAACAGGAAAGAAGGGAAGCAGCATGAGAAAAAGATTGGAAGACATGGAGTCTACCCTGTATGAGGGGTGTGTGTGTGTGTGCCTGAGAGAGGAAGAGAAATGAGTTCCAGCCGTGCAGTTATGTAGCTACAAGCCCTCAGCAGGGAATATACCCTTGCTGTCCAAAAAGCAGGAGGGTTCCTGAAACTTCCACCCCTGCCTCTCTCTCTGCCCACGAACAGGGAAGCAACAGGGTCAGCTGGCCAGACTTCTGTCCCCAGGGCCTGCCACCTCCGTTCCATCATCATGCCCTCCGGCTTTTCCTAATGAGATTCGGATTAGACCAGCTCCGGCACCTCCCGCCACCTTTTCCGGGCTCTCTGGGGGCTGAGCTGTCTGGAACAACAGCATGATCGTTAGACGGTTCCCACGTAGGTCTCACACACACACACACACACACACACACACACACACATCCCATGGACCCTCCCTGAAATCCATGGTAACCAGAATGTGTGCCGGTGTGTTTGTGAAACCGAGAGCAGAAGCTGGGAGAGGGTCTAAGACGTGCAGCCTAAATCAGAAGCTGCTCCACTGGGGGCCGGGGGCCGGGGGCGGGTGTGGGGGGGCGGTCCGGGGTGGGTGAGCCGGCGCATGCGTGGCGTGACCGCAAATCTGGCCAAGCTGGCCGAGTGCGTGGGAGAATACCGATTGCAGGGGGCACAGCGATAGAGCCCAGAGAGCAGGAGGGCTGGCGGGTGTGCGTCACCGAGAAAGCGGGAAAGGAGAGTGGGAGCAGACTGCAGGGGGGAATGAATGAACAGTCACATCTGCATTCTTCGCAGGGAATAAATGGTGGGAGGTGGGGACGGGTGACACCCAGGCTGACTGGGGGGGCGGGGCGGGGGCTCGGGTTTCTGGCTGCAGAGCCTAGACTGTAGAGAGAAAGTAGAGGACAGCCCGCCACATATGCATTCTGCTTTCTGGGCACCTTCCTGGCTCCAGGGGCTCTCTCCCTCCACCAGCAGAGCGCTGCGTGTCTCTCCACACGCGGGGGGCTGTCTGGGGCACAGGAAAAATTGTTGCTCTGGTGACAAGGTTCTTGAGCTGGGGAAGCCCCCTCCACACCAGCTGGTGCCCAGGAGCACTGCAGGCTGAGCACTGCCCCTGGGGCCAGGCTGTTAGCTCTGACCCTTCACCTGTTGTGCCAGGGCAGAGATGAGTTCTGCCAAGGCCATCTCTTCTGAGGGCACGGAGATACATGGCCTCAGGACCTCAGGGGTGAGGCAAAGAAGGGGAGGGTCATAGGAATAAAGGAGAACTCTCTGGCCTGAGAATCAGGAAATCTAAGACCTAACCCTGGCTCTGTGTGACCTTGGGCAAGTCACCTCACCTTGCTGGGCCTCGGTTTCCCCACATGCACTATGAAAGGTTTGGATTAAATGATCCTAAGGAGAACTATGCAGCTGGGATTCGGTATCTGGTTAGTAGGAGGAAGTATGGAGGAGCCTCACCTATGAACCTGGGCAAACATGTATGCAGGCTGGCAGACTCCTGGGGACAATGTCTTAGCCCCTTACCCGTGCCTTCAGCAAGGACTTGCCCTGCAGCAACCTAAGGCACCAGGGAAAGGAGAGTCTCTCCTGACACATGCATCTTTGGTAGGGGACCATGGAGTGGGGGGAGTCTCCTCTGCCCCCTGAGGACCCCACGCAATGCCTCCTGGTGTTTATGATCAGGAAGGTTTTTTCTAGGGCTCAATCTTATAGATTTGGGAGAATTTCCTATATCTTCCTCCCCATCATCGTCAGAGAGCTTGAAGTTGGCTATCAAATCCTGCTCCATCCCCCATTCACCTTCTCTTTGAATCTCTTTCCCTGTGGTGATCTTTATTCAGTTATGGTCCTGTATTAGAGGTCCAGGTGGTGGGTAGTGGTGCTGGTCGGAGTACCTCAGCTGAGCCTCTTTTAATCTTTGGATTGCATCTATGAAACCAAAGCCTTATCACTCTCTGGCTGGAGAAAAAACTGGAAAGCCAAGCCCCATCCCTCCACATACCCCCACTGCTGCCTTCTCTTCTTGGAGAGTACAGAATCTGAGGGGTTGGTCTCCCCTCAGGAGGTGGGAACCACCTGCCCTCTCAAAGACGGTGGGCCAGAAAAAGAGAGATGTAGCAGACAGAGAAAGAGAGGAAAAGATGAGGGGAGGTGGGGAGGGGTACGTATAGGGGGCTGAGAGTAGAAGAGGTGGAGGGAGGGAGAAAAATAATCTTTCAAACCAAGCAAAGGAGTGGGATGAGGGACCCGCTGAGGAAGGAGGAGAAGAAACAGCTGGACGTCAGGAAAAAGAGAAGTCTGATTGGCTACACGCCTGCCTTGGCTGGCTCCCCTGCCCTCCCCAGGCGACAGTCTACCCAGACCCCTCCGTGGGTCATGACTTCTCCATCAGAGTCCCCACCTCTCTGGAAGCTGTGAGCCTCCGTTTGGAACCAAAAGAGTCTCCAGGGGTAAGATTCAAGGCTTTCAGGGGTTAGGCCCATTGGTATGCAAATGAGGGAGAGTGCTTGTGGGGAGGAGAGCACAGGACAGGGCTGCAGTGAGGTGGGGTGTCTGGGTTGAGACAGGGGATTGAGGTTGGAGGGAGGCAGTAAACTGTCTTAGGGCTTTTGCTTTAAGATTTTTTTGATTATATAATTTGGTTTGGAGTAACATATGGGAGGTAAGATGAAGAGACACCTCTTGCTAGGATGGGGGCTTACCCCATTGCCCAGCAAAAACTAAGAAAGGGAGCGTGCTCTCTTTGGCAGCACACATACTAAAATTGGAATGCTACAGAGAAGATTAGCATGGCCCGTGCACAAGGGTGACACGCAAATCCGTGAAGCTTTCCATATACTTTTTTTTTTTTTTTTTTTGCTGCATTGAGTCTTTGTTGCTGCGCGCAGGCTTTCTCTAGTTGCGGTGAGCAGGGGCTGCTCTTCGTTGCGGTGCACGGGCTTCTCATTGTGGTGGCTTCTCTTGTTGCGGAGCACGGGCTCTAGGTGTGCGGGCTTCAGTAGTTGCAGCACGCTGGCTCAGCAGTTGTGGCGCACGGGCCTAGTTGCTCCGCGGCATGTGGGATCTTCCGGGACCAGGGCTTGAACCCGTGTCCCCTGCTTTGGCAGGCGGATTTTTATTTATTTATTTTTTTTGCGGTACGCGGGCCTCTCACTGTTGTGGCCTCTCCCGCTGTGGAGCAACAGGCTCCGGATGCGCAGGCTCAGTGGCCATGGCTCACAGGCCCAGCCACTCTGCGGCATGTGGGATCCTCCCGGACCGGGGCACGAACCCGCGTCCCCTGCATCGGCAGGCAGATTCCCAACCACTGCGCCACCAGGGAAGCCCGGCAGGCGGATTCTTAACCACTGTGCCACCAGGGGAGCCCCATACTTTTTATAATTGAGTCACTTTGCTGTACAGCAGAGATTGGCACAACATTGTAAATCAACTATACTTCAGTTTTTAAAAATGAAGAAAAAAAGAGGGAGAGTCTACTAGAGACTTGTGTAGCCAGCTTTGGGGAGAGCTGCATTATCAGAAATACACTGGGTACCTCACATCCACACTGCACACATTCCTTGACCCATCTGTGCATACGTGGATGAACATTTGAATTCACCTGTACACAGAAACCTAAGGAACTTTCTGAGTGTGTACAACCAAACACAAAGAGCTCTTTTGTTTCCGTAATCATTTGTTTCTAAAAAGCTGCATTTATAAATAGATTTTAAAACTAACATGCTTTTTTACACTGTAATCAATTTTTAAGCCTATGTTCTCTAAATGGACTAGTCATTCCTGGAACTAGGCATGCCTTATTTATTTCTGTGCCCCCAGAGACAAATCCAGTGCCTGGGACTATTAAGATATCTCATAAATGTTTGTCAAGCAAAGGCATGAATGAATGAATGATCTTTTTAAAAACCACAGGATTCCTTAATGGTGAAGTTTCTCTGAATCTAGTTTAGTGGCTAATGGTTGTACTCGGAGTGGGTGGCTGTATAAGAGAGAACATCTGTGTAAATTCACAAGTGTGTGCCTAGTTAGTAGGGAGGTATGTAGACAAGGGGACATGCATGAGTGTGTGTGTGTTAAGTAAATAAGCCTTTGCCAGGTGCCTGCACTTTCCTGCGTGAGTGAATATCAGTGTGTGGATGAGCATGTGAAGAGACTGAAGTGGCAAGCAGTGCGGGGGGCTGGCAGGAGATATCCCCCTAGATGTAGCCCCAGCCTTGAAGGAGCCTGCACATGCAATGAAGGCACTAAGTGTGTGACAAATGGCTTAAGAGTCTGCAAGTGTGGGGGTGGGAAGTGGGGTGAGTTTGTGAGCTGTTCCCCCAGGACTGGATACCTAAGTGATTCGGCCCCATTCTCATCCCATCCCCCACCTGCCAGGACTTCCATGAAGCTCCTGGCCTTACTCAGCCTGCTGGCCCTGATGCTGGCCCAGGAAGCAAGGACAGCATCTCTCCCAAAGACGGAGAGGGAGACGGAAGGAGACCAGCCACACGGAGAAGGCGATTCTTATGCAGTTCTGCAACTGGGGGACTATGTCCTGAGCCTAGACGACTACGATCAAGTCATTGACCTGAGCAACTATGATGAACTCACAGACTACAGGGAGCAGCTCCCCAAGGTGAGGGGCATGCAGCAGACCCATTGCATTCCCTGCAAGAAACTGGGAGCCTGAGGCCTGGTCCCTCTCTACCTGTTCCATAATGCAGGTATCTCAAGCCTCCACCTTTCTCTAGGAGGTGGAAATTCTTGTCCCTCCACAGGAACTTGTCGTTTAGATAATACTAAGAAAGAGGACACAAAACTTCAAGTTCTTTGTCTGTTTGTAGCAAATTCTGTGGGACTTCCCTCAGAAGTCATACATCCCTCCTTCCCTCTGCCTTCAAGACCATAAGGCGTATCTCACTGGGACAACAGCAATGTCCTCACATTCTCCCTTGGAAAAAGGAATGCTACAGCCTGTCTTTTCTTAGACTATCTTCAGTTCTAAAGTTCAGTTTTCAGCCCTTTCTGGCCTTCGCAGGGGCTGATCTGAAGTCTGCACTCATCTCCTGTCTGACCTTGGTCTGTGCGGGCAAGGGAAAAGCCCAGCCTGGGGGGTCCGGAGATGGGGTTCTGGCTCTGCCACCAGATGGCCCCTTGAGCTCAGTCCCTCCCCATCTGGACCTGAGTTTCCTCATCCACGTCATGATGAGGGACCAGATGCTCAGAAGGCCCTTGCCTTGCTCACTCTTCCTGCCGTCCCTCCCTCGTTTTCCACAGTGACTCTTTGCAAGCTTGAAATTGGTCGCTGAAGTTCCCAGAATCCAAAGTGAAGTCCCTCTCAGCCCCTCAAAGCTGGCTTACTGTATACTGTGTCTCCAGGTTAAAGGGACCAGCCTGGCTTCTCCAACCAGGACAAGTTTCACTCAGAGCACAAGGGCTCCAAGGACATCCCCTTCAAACCCCACAATGGCCAGGCCTACAACGCGGGGCCTGCTGGTTTCCCTGACCAGCCATGGTAAGTTCACAGGCACAAGTCTCAATAGCCACAGGTCATGGGCCAGCAGCCATGACCCAGCACCAGGGATGCGAAAGAGGAATGCAGTCAGAGCTATATGGAGTGGAGGATCAGGGAGAGAAGGGGAAACAGCTGCAGGGGAGGAAAAAAAAAACAAAGGGAGAGGCTGGCTGTTCCTAATGCTTCTTCCTGAGTGCACAAACTGGATAGGAAGCAAAGAAATGCAAGAACTCCGCTGTGCCTAGAAAAGCCACCTACCTTAATTAATAGCATCGCTGGGGGAGCATGTTGAGTGGTAATTAGATTAGAGACAATTAAAGGCCTGTAGAGAAGAATAAATAACTTCGTGGCCGCCATTTGGCATGGGGGCAAATGAAGCAGTCATACTGCTTTTCAGCTTGAATTCCCTGGTTAGCAGCTTTTCCCTCTCCTTGAGGCCCTCCTGGAGACTCTGGGATGCGGGCATATCCGCCGGTAGGGGGTTGGCGCTCTGCTGGGGATCAGAACTGAGCCAGAGGAGGATGCAGTTAATTCCTGACTTGCCCTTGCTCTCGGTTCCTGTTCTCTTCTTGAGATGTTTGCCTTGGGTGGGTATAGGGTAATGGGGCACCTGCAGAGAAAACACTTCTGTCAGGAATCCATGACCTCGCAGGCTTAAAGAGACCATAAAGGGCCTCAGCTGAACCTGCCATTCAAGGCCTGGGGATAAGTACACTGTCTGGTCACGACTGGTGAAGAAGAGCTATCTCTTAATCTTGGGTCTGTGTCACTACCAACAGAGTTCCCCCTTGAGTTGGACGAGCAGTGATCTCCAGTAATCTCTGTCCTTTCTAATAACAAGGGATGGAAACCTCCTGCAGTAGTCAGTAACACCTTCCCAACTTTGTAAAGCCAGTCTGAGCTCAATGGCCTGGCCTAAGTCTCATGACCACTGGTCATGGACTGAGAACAGGGGAGGGATGTTTTCCAATAGAAAACTGAGATGCTGATAACGATGAGAAGGGGAAATGAATCCTGGGCAGGCAGTGTACACTCCACCTTGGCTCTATTATGCTTTTTGGAGCCACACAGAACATGTCTAACTCCTCGCCCACCAGGCAGACGGCAGAACCGGCAGCCATTGGCCACTCCACTGAATCTGGCTTTATTTCATCTTCATTGCACCTTTTAGGACCAGAGAGGAGCCCTATGGAAAAGAGACTGATAGATGTCCTAGAAACGCCCACATAGGCCCAGAAAAACCTACACAGGACCAGGGTCTGATAAAGGCACTAATGGGCTTGGATTGTAATGGGTAATAACTGAGGGTGGATCTGCTTCTCTTAGGTCAAGGGCTGAGTGCCAGGCTGGCAGCGGCCAACAGCACTCCTGGGTACATTGTGACAGTCGGTCTGGGCAGCAACCCAAGAAGACACAGACAGCCACGGCTCAGACACTCCCTGGGGCCGGGGCTATTGGTCCCAAGGGCTGAAGGGTGTCTGACTGAGGAGGGGGGTCTCCCTTTGCTCTGTCTTCCACCTGGGCCAGGCCTGCCAACCTGTCTGATCTGCGTGTGCCTTGGTTCCTCTGTGTACTGTGATGATGCTGACCTAGAGAACGTCCCTCCTCTTCCCCAGACAACCGCTTACCTGTACGCCCGCTTCAACCGCACCAGCCATATTCGGGCTGGAGACTTCAAAGGGCTGAGTATGTAATGTCCTGGTAACAGAAAAGAGTGGGTGGGCAGAGGGAACCCCCAGGGTTCTTTCCCTTGCCACCCAGCCACATTGAACTGTCACCAGACCAAGTGCCTTTCCCTGTTGGGTTTCAGTCACTCCAGCTATCAAACAGAAATAGCCCCAGTCTCTTTAATTCCTTTGCTTGAAGATTTTTAGATGGCAGAAGTGACCTGTTCTTGTATGTTCTCCCCGAAGCTATGGGAAGCAGGGGAGGAGAAGGTATGATCAAGCCTACGTTTTCAGGCTGTCCCAGCAACTGTAGCTCTCTGCCGTCCTGGCCTCTGGACAAGGCCATGTTAACTCTTGTCTCTAATCCAGATTCTTCCACTAATTACTGACAGCCTTCCTGGGCCTCATTGTTCTTTTGTGTAAACTAACAGGTAGAAGTGGGATGGATCCAGGGATTCCTGAGCCTGTTGGGTCTTACCCTCAAAAAGCTTCTTCCAAGCCAATCCACATAGGACAGAACTCCAGGGAAAGGTATTACAGAATCTGAGGGCTTTTCCAGGTTTATAAAGTTATTCCTTCTGGTTTGGACCTGGTGCCGGTGGAGAGCTGGCTAGCATCCCTTATCCTGAGAGGCAGGGAGCAGGGCACAGGCAGCTCCAGCAGGAGCAAGGGAAGATGGTATGTCCCTCATCTCTCTGTGTTCTGCCCTGCACCTCTTAGCAAAACTGAAGAGGATTGACCTCTCTAGCAATTTCATCTCCTCCATCGATGACGATGCCCTCCTCCTGCTGCCTGCTCTGCAGGATCTGATCCTCCCTGAGAACAAGCTGGCAGCGCTACCTGTGCTGCCCACTGGCATTGAGGTCCTGGACATCCGCCTGAACCAGCTCCAGAGCTCAGGGATACAGCCTGAAGCCTTCAGGGTGAGCCAGGGCCTTAAGTCCCCCATCTACCACCTGTCACCCATGCCTACAACCACACACACACACACACACACACACACACACACCCATGGCCCTCACGGGATATCTCTGCTCCAACCCTGTTCTGGGGCGTGAAAATCAAACCCAATTTTCCTCATCTAAACCATCAGCAGCTCCCCCTCTCCCTCTGTGGGGCACCTGGTCTCTTGGCTTCTTTCTGTGCAACTGCCCAGTCACCTCCCTGTGCACCAACATCCTCGCACACTCAGTTTCTGCTCCCCTAAAACTTTGACTTACATGTGACTGGACTTGCAGTGGTACTGGCTCCAGTTCTCACTCTACATATTCTTTTATTTCCAAAACCCATCACTAACTGGCTAATCATTGTCTTTCTAGGAGCAAATTCTCAAGAGAGAAAATCTGGTCACTGGCTGGCCAGTTTTGATGGGAAGGGCTCAACACATGGCACAAATATGGCCCCCTGGGCTGCCCACTCAGCAGGGCCAGGAAGAGTCCTGGGGACAGTTCCAGTGAGGAAGTGAAGAGGGGTGTGGATGAGATTGACACCCCAGCTCTGTCACTCTCACATATGCAATTTGTTTCCATTGTGCCTGTGGCTCTCATTACGCTAGTCCGAGTATTTCCCGACCATGCTCTCCATAGCTGCTCCAGATTTAGCATCTGGAGACTTTTCATTTGGGAAAGTCCCTTCTGATAGCAGAGATGCTGAGGCTGGGCCGAAATGTCCTGCATCCTGCCTCCCACCCATCCCTGCCCCTTGCCTGCTCTTCCCAGAGTCGCCACTGACACTGCCGAGTGCCTTCACGCTCCCCCAGCTGCTGGCGCCTCAGTGGCAGCAGCTTTTCCTTCTGCATCCAGTGGGAGGAAACGGGCCTCCCCCACAGCACCCAGCGCGGAACCTGGCACCTGGCTGAGGCCCAGGAGACCCTGAGTGAGCGAACGGGGTCACATCAGCCACCCATCACTGCCAGGGCCCCACAGCACCCACCAGCCTCACGCACCCTTTGTCTCCTCCCCAGGCGCTGGAGAAGCTGCAGTTCCTCTACCTGGCCGATAACCTGCTGGACTCCATCCCCAGGTCCCTGCCCCTGAGCCTGCGCTCACTACACCTGCAGGTGAGCGGCCTCCCCAAGAGCAAAGGCATTGAACAGCACAGAAAGTGGAGGTCAGATTGCAGGGAGCCCGCCCCTTAGGCAGCGGTGGGTCTACGTCACTGAGAGCTCGTGGGAGACAAGGATTGGTAGGTGTTGTTCAGACCACTGTCCACAGACTCAGTTTGATTTCTTCCCCTTCCTGCTCTTTGAAACACTTCCCCATGTCCTTATCCCATCTCACTCAATTGCTTGTTCCTTCTCCCCCTTCCCTTACCCTCTGTCTCCCGTCTTCCCTTCTTCCCTCTCAATCTCCCCTCTCTCTCCATCCGTCCTCAATGGGTCTCCTCTCCTCTTTCCTTGTATGGGGCGTTGGCTTTCTGTGCCTCGGTTTCTCCAGTTGTAAAGGGGAGGCGAGGTGGTAGGGAGAACACACTGAGCCTGCCTTCAGTGCGGCCTGAGGGCAGAATCTCCAGGCAGAGCAGGCTTGCAGCTGTCAGTGTGTTCTTTCCAGAATAACATGATAGAGACCATGCAGAGGGACACCTTCTGTGACGCTGAGAGGCCCAAGCACACGCGGAGGCAGCTGGAAGACATCCGCCTGGACGGCAATCCCATCAACCTGAACCTCTTCCCCAGTGCCTACTTCTGCCTACCTCGGCTCCCCACAGGCCGCTTCACCTAGCTCACCCCTTCCACTGCTCCCAAGTAAGAGCCTTGGAGGACCACCAAGGGCACGGGCCTCCTGGGCCACAGGGCCCGATCCCTGTCAGTGGTCTTTCATGCAGGCACTAACCATCCTCAAGATGCAATTGCAAAACTCCACACACACCCCTCCCCCAACACACACACGGAAATGTCCTCCAGGAGCCAGATTTGTATTTCTCCATCCTCTTTCCTGAACACCTTATGGCTCCTGGCTCAGAGAATAGCGACGTCTGCAGCAAAACTCCTTCCCATATCCCCCATCCCTCCTACCCATACAGAATGCCAAGAAAATCATGTAAGAGGAAGAGGAGGAACAGAAAGAGAAGGAGGAAGTGGGGAGAAGCAGTGGCGTGCTGGAGCCAGCTCTTACTACTAGGCTCGCAAGAACTGATCATTAAAATTTTCCAGAATTTTGCAAACCAGTTGTTAAATACAGCCATTATTAAAAACTAAATTATATAAACTCACAATTAAATATATTATGTTGAAAACAAATGTAATAAATACTCAAACCCATCACCTCCCAATTACTTTACTGTGTTTTACTATTAACCATGTTCTTGAACTTACTTACGTCCACGGTACCTGTGTGGTGGAACTACTATATAATGACAGGCTCCTGCTGCTCATCTCTTCCCAGCTCTGCTTTCAGTGGCATCACATTGGTAGTTTGAAATTGGCCATGATGGGAGTATTTACACCACGCACATCGGTAAACACTACACATTAGGATTTTTTTGAGAAAGAGAGACAGCCTGTTGTTAAGCATCTGCTAGCACACCACTGAGGAAAAAGAAGAGCTGTTTAAACAACCCCTCCCCGTACTTCCAGGCCACCCCACTGGGGGTAGGGTGGGGTTTCTGTGGGGCTTTTAAAATTTTCTTACTTTTCCTGTGCCAGGGCTTCCTGTTAGATTTGGAGGGAGCCATTCATAAGGACGGAGAACTGACATGAATCTTCATCCGGATGCCTGCTTGTAGCGCTTACCTGTTCCCGGTTCAGTGACCAGCTTCTGAGCATGGGTGGCTCAGCCAGCTGGTTCCTAGCCATGCTCTCTTGATGTTTAACCACCAGAGGGCAGCCTTGTGCAAAGATAAATAAATAAATATAGCAATTACTCACCTTTTGCAACCTTCTTGGATCCTGGGCTGGGCCTGCTGTACTGGGCGAATGGGAAGAAGGGCAACTATGATCTAGCCAACTTGCCCCTTGAATTATAATGGGAAGAGAGATGTCATCTTTCTCCTTCTTATAAGGACATGTTGGGCAAGGGGGGGGTGGTGTTATAGATCGGTGCTTGGCATCAGGTATTGACTGGGGCATAGAAGAAGGGTAAGGCCAGCAATTCATGTATTCATTCAGCAAGGATTTTATTGAGCACCTACCTGCTATGTGCAGATGGTATGCAATAGACATACTCCTTTTCTTCATGGAGCTTAAAGTCAAGTGTGGAAGACATGTGTGAAACAAATAATCACACAAATAACCACACTATTCAACTCATGATAAATACTGTAAAAGGAATATTCAAAACGCTATGAGAACTTACAGGAGGGGGACAGAGTTTAAGGGTCCAGGAGACCTTGAAGAATCAATGTCTAAGCTGAAAGCTGAAGGAATAGGAGTTAGCTAAGGCAACCACTCAAGGCCCCAGGTGGTCCCCAAGTCTGGAGGAACAGGTGTGTCTTGGGGCCCACCTGGAAGGGAACCCATTCATCCGCCTCCCCCACCTCTGTCTAGACCTCTCCAAGTACTGTGGGTGCTCAGGACAGTCCTGTAAGCAGACCAGTCAGGGATCATTATTCACATTCTTCAGATGAAGAATTTGAGAACTACAGAAGACTCCACACACAGGCTGCAAACTAGGAGTGGGAAGTCTCAAAGGCGGTGAGAGCGGCCTGGTACAGTTGCTGCTGTGTTCACCCTCCCTCTCCCCAAGGACCCAAGGATTCCAGGACCCAGCAGGCTCCCTGTCTGTCTCTGTCTGTCTGTCTCTCTCTCTGTCTCTGTCTCTCTCTTGCTCTCTCTCTCTATCTCTCTCACATGCACGCTCTCTCTCATCCCCCAGTCCCATCCTCTTCCATATCCCACTGTATTTGATTATGACCAGGCCTAGGCATGCAACAGTTGGAAACCTCAAGACCTGTAAGTGCAAGAAACGCTGATTTGAAACAATCCAATGAAAAAAACAGAAGAAATTTTCCAGAACTGGGGCTCCCGTGTGCTAGAAGCCACATCATACCCATATGCCCCAAGGTTAATATGTGCTAAATACAGAAAGTCATCTGACCCCTGTTCTATTGTGGGAGAAGGGGACTCACAATTTCTGGACTCCTGGAATTTGCCAGACACTGTATTAGAAGTTTTTATGCACATCAACTCACTTAATCCCAACCACCACTCTAGATAGTAGAAATGTTTATCTCCACATTGTGGATGAGGAAACAAGTTTGTGGAAGTGTGGTACCCAAATTCACACAGCTAATAAGTGGCAGAGCCAGGATTCAAACCTAGGTCCCTCTAAGCATAGGTTACGAAGTCCTGCTCTCACAGCACACTTCAATGTAGGCACTACTTTCAAGGCCAGCCAAAGTAGGCAGGCTCCTTTCCTGAGGCCACGGCTGCTGTGCTGGGTAGGATTTCCCCAAGGGCCTGCTGCCTTTGCAGCTGTCTCCTAACTAATGCCCCATTTTTGGCTAGGGAAACCCAAGGAATAGAAAGAACGCCCTTGTTGGCCGCCTCCCTGAAGAAATTATAAATAGTGCATCTGTCCCTTGGCCCCTCCCATGATCCAGGGAGTGGGGAGGGTAGAGAAATCCAAGTGCCTCCCAGCAGCTCTTATATCTTGACTGAAGGAGCTGGGGCTCTCTTCTCAGGGACCTAAAGAAGTTAGGGTCGGACACCTGGCAGGGGAAAGAGAGAGCACCTCTTTATCCAGACTGAGGGTCTCCTGTCCAGCGGAATGGTAAAGACGGGTGTGAACCAGCCCTGAGGAAAAAAGGGAGAGCAGAGAGGAGTGGGCTGTGGGGGTCCAGTCAGGTGGGGAAGGGGCCTCACTGCTGATGCAGTGGGCAGTGCTAGTTGGGATTTAAATCCACTTCTTCAAAGAGCCAGTCTTTTCTAGCCTCACTCATCCAGGTCTTTAATGGCACTCAGCACCTGTGCTCCACCTTGGCAACCTTGGTGAGGACCCTTGCTCTTGAGTGGCTCCCTGGTGGCCCTCCTGCCAGCCCTGAGCAAAGGGGAGCACCTCCCCCACACCCCGTTGCACCCCATGGCCTCAGGATGGTTCTAGCTCCAGGCAGGCGCCCTGACCAGTTCTGTGACTGTTGTGGGAGGAGGCAAAGGGGCCAGGGTAAGTTTGCAGTGACTGCCCGTCCACCTGCCCGTCCGCAACTCCACAGCCAGGCCCAGGGCAGGAAGAGGCTGGTAGGGAATGGAGGGAGGGAGGGGCTGCTGGAGGGGCTGGAGCTAAATCCATTCAGGAGCCAGGGAGTGTTTCCTCACCCTGACCTTTCCTTGCTGCTTCCTTTCCCCTTGAATTTCCTCCCTGAATAATAATCTCTTACGCTTATGCTGTAAATTTTCACTTTACAGATAGATCTCTTTGATATATGGGATTGAATTTATGGTCCCAATAACTCTGCAGACGGTATTATTACCTCTACTTTACAGATAGAAAATGGGAGGCTAAGTGATTTGTTCACGGGAAAGTTGACTTAACGTATAGAAGCACAAGGGAGATGGGGGGAGACAGCCATCATTTCTTGGGAATTCCTGCAAGAGAAATGGAAATCCCATCACCCGCTGCTGGAGCAATGGATTAGTATCCCCCTCCCCACTCCCCAAGAGCTCTTTGAAAAGCAAGGAACAGAGGGAGCCTCTCTCAGACTGGCAAAATGCGTGCCACCCACAGGGCTGTGGGCCTGCATCCTGATGGTGCACAGGAGGTAGTGAGGAGAAGGCAGCTTCTGTGAATCTCAGCTCAGGAAAACCCCAGGACTCAAGGACACACTGCTCCCCATCTCTGCCCCCACCCCAGCAGGCGCATGGACAGCCCAGCACCCACACGCCCCCATCTGTGTCCTTCTTGCTTCCGGCCAGAAGGAGGGAGGCAGACAGACAGGAGGTGCACAGAGGCTCTGCCCTGCCCCCTCCACTGTCTGGATCTCTCAGCTTTCTCCTTCCTCCTGCCTGCCCCTCCCCTCTCTCCCACACTAGACACCAACTCAATTTGGCCTCTCCTCTCTTTCAAGGTCATCTCTCTCAGCTGGGCCAGCTTCACATCCCCCAGCAGCCAACATCTCCCCATCTCACAGACCTCCCTCCTGTGGTTGCTGGCAGCTTAAAGGAGGGTCTCCATAAGGAGGGGGGATGCTGGTTTCTTTCCCCACGGCTCCCATGTCTCCCTTCTCCTCCAAGAGTGATAAAGCAGCCAGGGGACCACCTCCTTCCTGTCTCACTGCACAGCCCCCCCAAACTCAGACCTCCTTCTTATCTTCAGACCAGCCTGTTCATCCCTCCCAGGCGTGGAAAAAACCTGTGGCCGGGACATGCATGTGCACACTGTCCAGTACGTGCACGCAGAACGCGCTACATCTGCTCTCTTCTTTCCTCCCCTCTGCAGTCTGGTTCCCTTCCCATACCCACTGCTGTGCCCCAGGCACCGGAGCGAACAGTTCTTAGCCTTTTCCTGGCACTGCTGGTCCCAGCCCCGTTGCCCTGAATCCTCGTCTCTGGGGTGTATCTAACACACAGTTCACACAAAGGAGGAAACGCAAAGTGTCCCCTGCTGCAGCCACCTGCAGAGGAACCATGGTCCAGGGAGCGAGCAACTGGAATGAGGGTCCAGAGCCCTGAGTCTGGCCACCCGACGCCCTGACTCGCTGTGCAACACGCGGCAAAAGTCATGCCGGCACCACAGTCCGCCTGCCTTCCACTTGGGGCCCCTCAGCCTACTTCTGTGGCTCAAAGCATGAAGAAGCCTGGTGGGCGTGGTGTATCTCCCCACCCCCATTACTTTTCTAGTCTAAGAACAAAGACCAAACCCTCCCCCACTATTCCCAGTAGCACAGGCCAACATTGACAGAGACACCTAATGGTAAAGGAGAACAAAGGAAAACAAAGGGGAGTAAGGACAGAAAACACACACCACACAAAATGTGTCTAGCCCCCAACTCAAGGTTTCTGATCCCAGATCAACTGCATTTTGACCCAAAAACTGGCTTAGCTGCAGGCCTTCCTGAGCCCCTCTCTGGTCCTGCAGAATAGGAAACAAT